TTCTCGACGTCGTTGAATCTCTCTTTCTCCCTCTCTCGCCCTTTCTCTCCTCGGCTCGATATTCAGATCGCGGGATTAACTCCGTGTAGATTGTGTCGTCAAAAGCCCCGACAGCCGGCTTGTCGGGACGCTCGCAGAAAGGCGTCTTCAAGATCCGAAATTGCCTTCGTCTCGCGAAAGTCTCTCCCTCGGATAGAAACTGGCTAATCCCTGCGCCGGGATCTAAACGGTTGCCAATCATTTCCGGTTCTCGGATTAGTCGCGCGTCGAAAAGTCAGCGAGCTCGCACGTTCGTAAGGGCGTGAAACGGCTTCTGGCAGGACCTTCCGGAGGACCCATGATACGGAGGTGACAACAATGTGATCCCGGGGACGAATGTCGGCTTCGTAAGCGGATTACAAACGACTCGTACACGCGTCCGAGAAATGATATTCCCGCGCAGAAAGAGATTGGCTTTTTTCACGCCTTTCTCCTAACCGGCAGTGCATTGATCCGACGTTAAGATCCGTATATTGAAGAAAGGACTATATGTATAAGAGAAAATAGAACTGGCAAAATATCTATTATATTTTAAACGCGTGTATGTATATACGTTTATACCTTGAATTCAATGCAAACACACATACATACAGAGAGATGTATGTACATATATACATCGATATGTTTTGAGACCTCTTATGATAGAAAAAAATTTATTCATCCAGAAACAAGATCCGGAAAAATCTTTTCAACGTGATATTTCTGCATAGACGCTTAAATACTCGTTTAACAATTTATCACAGTCGTCCCTGTGTTTGGTGCCAAAAAATACGAGTATAATTGCTTACTTTTAGATTATTTACGATAGAAAAAAATGTATTTGTTAATAAACAAGGCCCGGAAGAGTTCCGTTTAACGAGATGTTTATATATATGCGCACAAATTTCTGCGTAGACGCCTAAATACTCGTTTAACAATTTATTACAGTCGTCCCTGTGTTTGGTGCCAAAAAATACGAGTATGGTTGCTTACTTTTAGATTATTTACGATAGAAAAAAAATTATTTGTTAATAAACAAGGCCCGGAAGAGTTCCGTTTAACGAGATGTTTATATATATACGCACAAATTTCTGCGTAGACGCTTAAATACTCGTTTAACAATTTATTACAGTCGTCCCTGTGTTTGATGCCAAAAATTATGAGTATGGTTACTTACTTTTAGATTATTTACGACAGAAAAAAAATTATTTGTTAATATACAAGGCCCGGAAGAGTTCCGTTTAACGAGATGTTTCAACTTCTAAACAAATTCATCCAGAAATAAGACCCGGAAAAATCATTTTATCAAGATATTTCTGCATACACGCCTATATATAGATGTAAACTCATAATTTTATATTTTTCAAAAAAGATTGAAATTTTTATGTTCTTCTTGGAAACTTATATATAAGATTAAGAAATTTGCTTCTTCTAATTTTATTTTTCTTTGGCTCTTGAAAAAATTAATTGATATTAAATAATAATATACGGTTATTACATAAGTTTTAAATTATTCACGCAAACTCTAAATATGGTTTGCGAATAAAATAATAATACTGTAGAAAAACAATCAGTTATATACATGATTAAGAATATAGAATATTGTAAACACATGTATAACGATAAATATAAATAAAATTAAATATAAAATATCTAATAAATGTAAATAATCAAATCAATTCAATTAATTTCATCTAATTAATTTAAATATAATTAAATTAAATTAAATAAAAAAATATCTTCCTTTATATATATATATGCATATTCCGCTCTGTAATTAGAACATGGCGTCGCTATATTAAATTGCCCTTTTCGCTAATACTTCCTCACTTATTAATGCGGTACGCGTGTAATTGTCGCGTAAAGACATACTCGGGAATACGATAATTAGGGGTTTGCGCGATCCCAGAGATCGAGAGAAGTAAACAGCTAATGAGCGATCAACGGCCTGGCGTACATATGTGATCGATGCGTAAATCCGTCGACAATTACGTCCGACTGTTAGTCCAACGTTAATAATTTTCTAATCAACGCTGCGTGAAAGATCGATCGTATTTGTACCGTGACGAGCAGCCGCAACCGAGTGCTGCTCTTGCTGATGGTACGGAATGTAATAATCTAGACGGGAAATTGGAATAAACGGGACGCACGGGGAGCTTTAACGGGGCAGTTAGTTCGTTCTCGTCCCTCTTGTAAAAAAAAAAAAAAAAAATGAAAAAATCGCCTGGGCCAATCTACGTGAAAGCGTGCGGCGCGGCAATTACGTTGGCGTTACTCTTCCTAATTGTCCTTCATTAATAATTCTGCGATCTCCTGTGGCATGGATGGCGTACCACGGAAGGTGGATACCATTTACGATTATGATCGCGCGCGTCGGCCGCTGACTGATAACACCAATAACGAACGCATGTTATTAGCTTTAAAAGAAAGAAGAAAAACACTTTTTCTCGTTACAAATTTTTATAAGATCTTTGCCTTGATGTGAACTAAGGCTCCACGTTCATATAAAGAATCTTTTCTGTAAGCAATGAAAATGTTTCACAAACATGACTTAAATATCTTTTTATAAATGGATATTTTGTTATTAACTTTTTAATCTATATATTTGTTAGAAGATAAAAATCTCTTATCGATGTTCTTCACATTTGTAAATGTGAATTAAATACATCTTAATAAAATGATGATAAACATTTCGATCATAATACATTAACATGGGCCTTATATAAGAAATATTAATTATTTACATGCATTACAGTATTTAAAAATATAATATTAATATATATAATACTTTATAAAAAAAAAACATTTAGTGCTAAAAGAATATCTATAAACGTAGAATGCTACTTCAAACAAATATATAAATCATGATCCAAAGAAGATTTATAAGGCTTATTTTGGAAAATAAATTTTATAAATAAAATTTTGAAATATTATATATATATTTTTTTTAATTTAACATTTTTCTACAAGTAGATTCGGTATAAGTTTAAAGTTTATAATGAAAATATAAGACAAAATGCACAGGATTGTGTAACACGATTTTAGCTCAATATATTTATATATATCGCACGCGCGGGCACTTTTCCCTATTTCTCGTGTCACCATAGTGAGGCAAGGACGACGATTATCGATTACCATGACGTGACTTTCGAGATTTCCAAACGCAACACCACTACCGCGTCTCGCGCCGGGGCTGGTCATTGGTCTTGTCCGTGAAACACTTAAAGGGGTGTTATAAATAGCGATGCGGTACAAGGTGTGAGCTGTCGCGGTGAGTCAATGCCGTGGAAAAATTAGCGCCTTAATAGCCCCGGATACTTGTTTTCGCATTTCGCAGCGAAGCGGCACCAGATTTAGCGTAGAGAAGCAGTATTAGTGTCGCCGCTTCTCTAATCACGTCGCCATCGTCGTCCGCGTAATTACTGGTAATGCGCTTGTTTGAGGAGATAAACCGATTACACGAATAACAGTCGTTGTAGCGTGCGAACGGCTTCGCGAGTAGTTTAAAAACAATTCATCCCGGGTGAAAAAGAGGACGGATCGGCCAGGCCGGTAAAAGAAGTTGTGAATTAACCAAAATTACGCTTGGTATAGGTCACCTGACCTAGCCAAACCTTAATGATGCTCCTTTGATGAGAGAAAACGATTTCTATGATTTGTAGCGACCCAACACTTTCTTTGTTAGAGCTTGAACTAGAAATCAGCTTGTAATATAAATCAGAGTAACAAGTAATACTTTCTAGGTAACTGCTATATTTATATTTTGTATTTACAGGCTTACCCGTGTCATGAAAGCTAGTAATGTGCATAACTGTGAGTCTTCGAATGTGAAAAAATTGATCAAAAATCAGTTCTATTTATTTTATTGCGTTTTGTGTGTTACGAATTTCTGCGTAATACGAGTGTTCTCGAAATCTTACGAAATTCGGCGTCATCCGATTAAAGAAGTTAACGACGACTTAGCACTTGTTTAGCCGGAGGGATTAAACTCCGGAGGACAGCGGCACAGGTAGAAAAGATGAATGAAACAAATGAGGGTAACATAATTAAAGCTTTCGAATGCCGAGCTCCAATTTAGAACCATTAGAATTCCTAAACGTTGTCGGGCGAATAGACCCAACAACTGGAGATGAGAAAGAAAGAGGAAAAAAAGAAAGGGAGTGAGAAAGATAAACGTTTGTCTCTCTCCGTGGAAAGAAATATATCTAATTCTCGAAAGAGAGGCATTCTATACAATTACAACCAGCGACGGTCGACGTGATCTCACCGATTGGAACATCCGGTCGAGAGGGACCATGTATCCCTATATTCTTGATAGCCTCATGAAAGTCGCAAATGATCAGATAAGTAGATGAAATCTCAAAACGCAATGTTCGCATATCTTTTCTCGAAATAAGCATCGTAACTCATTTAATTGTCTTTGAATTAAATAAAAATTTTAATTATCCAAGCAATCATTTTAGAGATTGAAAAATTATACGTGGAGTATTTTTTTATCTATTTGTAAAGTATCACAGTTTCTTTTAAAAATTACTAATGCATTGATAAATTATACGTCTCAAAAGAAAAAGATAAGATCTATCAAACTATCGGATAGTCATTGTTGCAAAATAGTTTTGTGAGAAATATAAAAATTCAGTAAAAACCCAGAATAAAACTGAGAGAATAAATAATATTCTCAATTAATTTTTTAATAGATGTTTCAATGTTTCAATGTTTAAATTTTGTCATCTAAAGTATGACAAAAATATGCAATTGTCAGTTGACTCGTGTATTAAATCCTACTTTTTCCATTGCGTGTTGTTCAAAAATTTAACTAATTTGTAACTTATTTTTGACATGACTGTGTCGAAAATATAATTCTTTATTCCACTAAAAAGAGCCTAATATGTAAATATTGTTAGAAAAGAGTATTATCGCCGCTTCATTATATTATTATAGTGACTAGCAGTTTCGAAAGCGTGTAATAAAATGTGATTTACCATTGGACGTAACGGAAGCGCCGTCGTGGTGGCTGGCGTCACTGTCTTCGTCTAGATTACTGGTGCTCAAGGACGTTCTGGACTGATGCCTGACACTAAGGTCCCGCGGTGTCGAGGGTGGACTTCCGGGTGGCTCCTGGCTAGGTAGACCGGACTGGTGCATCTTGCTGGACGCGCCGCCCAGGATGTCGGTGATCATAAACCTCGATCTCTGTGGCATCGTCGTCGAGGCGTCGCCCCTTTCCAGCCCGTTGTTGTTATTATTATTGTTGTTGCTGTTTAAATTGTTATTGCGCGAGTCCAACCCGTTGGAGAGACGTTCGATGGCGACACCATTTCGATCGACCATATTTTCCAGCCGATGCGCCTCTAGGCCAGACATCCTGCTAAGATTGAGGCCGTTATTTGCCACGGCAACGCCACTAAGAGCGGCCACGTGGTGGTTTTGTTGATGATGGACCGTCATCACGGTAGACACAGGTGATTCCTTCGGGCTACGGGCACCTGCAGGTGTCTCTGTCGCCACCCCAGGACTTGCCCGGTACCTGGGAGACAGAATCTTGCCGACGGTGACGACGTAGCCTACGCCAAGAAGATCGTGGTGCTCACTAATTTAACTTCACTGCACTATAATCCCAGATAGATTCGATCTCTGGATCACTTCTTCCCTTTTACGCGTGCGGCGAGCACGTTATAATCTGACATTCTTGATGTTCACGATCTCAAATACGCTGCAATGCGTTGATGTTTTTTATAATAAAGAAATCAAGAAACCTCTTTTGTTCGTGTCGAGGACATAAATATGTTTGTTGTTTTAATAAACTTCAATGATTTCAGAGATTCAATCAGTCCACAAAAACATTGGATCCTTCAAATTGCACAAATGTTTAAAAACAATTCAGTGAATTGGCTGGCAAAAATCACCTGAAGAAAATTCAGCATAAATGTGAGACCGATATTCGTGTTGGGATGCGTGTGCACCTTGCACTTCCTCCCATTTACTTGGTCGCTCCACCTTCGCCACCACCTTCTTCCCAGGCGCAATTAAGGGGCCGCTCGGCTCGGCTCCCCGGTTAATTGCTAATTGGCCACTTAACATAATTGCCGCGCGTAAGAGCGAAGCTGCCGGCCATTTCCGCTTTCCTTTTTCTCCTTTTCCTTTTGCACGTTTAATTATTAATTATTTTTATATAAGACTACGTTCCTCTCACTTTTGCACAATTATGTGATGGTAAACCGATAAAATATTTGCTCAAATGGGTTTGAGAGATTTTTAGTTTGATTTCTTATTATTCGCTGACTGATTGTCCAAGCATAAAATAGATGCGACAAAACTTTTCAGAAGAATTCCTAAATATTGGCACGTCTCCACTTATATGCTGCCACTATTATGTCTGTTGCATAAATAAGCACAAGTGATCACATTTGTCAGTGAGCCTTATCAGTTCAGTAACTGTTCACTCGATTGGTCCATGATTCGTACTTGTTTCAAGAGTTTGTTTAAGTTGCTTATCGCGGTTGTTGTGTCACATGTGCCACAATTGATCACTCTTGCAACTAGACTTTTATTAACATTTTGTCGAACTGTCAATACACCTTGTTACAGCTTATGTTGACACTGTTTTCTTTCTTCAGATCACACTATCACTTGGTTGTCGCGTACTTAGGTCAATTTTGACAAATGCTTCTATTAGCCTGTTCTAAATCTTGAACAATAAACTGTACAAGACTCCTCGAAAGGAAATCTCCAATTGATCAGCGTTTTCCAAATTCGCGCAATAAGACTCACGCGCGTGTATACAATCCCGATGTAGAGGTCAATGATACGCGCAAGATGCACTTTTCGCTGGAAGAAGAACCGCTCCGATCGGTCTGTTTCCAAAACTGGAGTCGTGAGACGCGAGGTATTGCGTACGTGCGTGCGTGTGCATCGAGTTGTCACGACTGGTCTGTCCGTACTGAGAGAACGGCTGATGCCTCTGCTCGTTCCTGGGCGGCCATATCGCGACTTTGACACGCCCTTCGATCTCCCCACCATTGCTTACTTCAGACCAATCCTGCATGTCTACGTTAAGCATCCCGCCAATCCCAACTAAAGCAACTACGGCGCCTCGGCTATGTGGCGCGGCTACGCCCAAGTAATTTGAAATGTGTTTCAGCGGTAATTCGATATAAAATTGTAGTTAATATCTTTCATTATAGTTCGGGCGGGTGAAGCAGGGAGGAGAAGCAGGGGATGCCTAGAGGTTCCTCGCGCGAAAGACGACGATGGTGGGAGGTGTCGGGAAATTGCGAGAGGAAGGATAGAGCAGGAGGGGATGGTGAAGTGGCGGACGATGATACCTGGGCCTCCCACTTCTAGCTTGCTCTCCTTCGAGAGCTCTCTTCGAGATGGAACGGCGATGGATCGTCGCAAAGTGCGGGGCGAAGGAAGGGAAGGTCCAGCAAGACCACCTGGAAGGGGTAAAGTACCATCGAAACGGAGAAGGGTAGTTCCACACAGCTCCGACGAAGTTACTACGCGAATTTACGAATTCACGAGACGGAGCGACGAGCGGAGCTTGGGAGTCTGGGCGAGCAAGCGAGCAAGTTTTTTGCTACGTGAACTTTTTCTCCCCCCTCTCACTCATCCTTCTGTCACCGAGACTCAAGAAGAGGCTCGTTAAGCATATCAAAGAAGCGCGTTGATTAACTTGGCTGTGTTACCAATGTCGTCGCAGAGTGACGTTGAGCGTTAAATTGTGCCATCATAGGATCAATCGGAATAATCATGGAATATTTTTTTGAATGGTGAAACTCCATAATAACAGTTACAACATGATTGGAATGATACTTACTTCTGTAACAAATATCGCAAAATTTTCAAGAGTGACGGCATTTTATATATCGCAATCACTGCAATTGAGGGAATAATTTATAATCGCAATTTCAATAAATTTGCATATGCAATAAGTGCAGCTTTAAATCTTTTACAAAAACATGTTGATGTAAAAAAAAGATATTGCTGTAATTAGAAGAGGAAGTCTATCTTAAAAGATTCGTCCTTAAAATGTTTGCAGTCTTATGTGTGTGGAGTGAATAACATTACAAAGAAGTGTTGAGTGAATAACATTACATTTTTATGCAATAAATAATTATTTTAACATATAAGGTGTCTAGTATCCAGCGATTCTGATATATAGTTGGATTCTCGACATTATTTGGAGACGATTTTTTCTCAGCAAAAATGTCGAGAGAGATAATCATTTTTTACATGTTCCCAATTTTTGTCACCTTTGTAACTAAGCCTTAAATTAAAATTCTATTAAAGTCTACCTAAAATTAAGTAAAGAATGTGATTTTGTTAACATTTTGCAATCTTTTCCACATAGTCTTTTTTAAATTAAATTATCTTAATTAGAAACTAGTAAACTAAAATAAAGAAATTAGTAAACTAAAATAAAGCAAAATTCGGTTCCCGATTCAGCGATTTTTGGATCTATATTTTTCTCTCGCGTTTATCTCCTTATTTCTTTAGGGGGTTATAGGGGTTTATGAAATTAAATCTCAAATATGAGATATTTCATGTTAAGTCTTGGTAGTACACCAAGAATAATATATGCTTTGTACACATTTCGTTTATTTCCAACGAAAAATCAATTTTTGTTGAAAATGTACATGCAAGGAACATCCGCGTATGGCTCTTAGGCCTTTCTTATTTGTATTTAATATTTAATATTACAGAGCCTTGAATATATTTCTTAGTGTAAAATAAAGCAGTTACTTGCTTTACTTTAAATGATTTGAATTCATAATTCTTTAATCCTTCTAAATATTTACCAAACTATATTTGTGAAAATATACAAAGTGTTCTAAAAAGGTACGGCCAAAATTTAGGGAGATATTTCTCACACCTAAAGGATGCGAAAATGTTACATGAACATAAGTGCGGAAACGTTTTTTTCAGAAGTTAGAACTTCTTTTCTGAGCATGCGATGTTACGGCTAAAAGAGGTGATCTTACTTGCCAGGCAAAAATTAGAAAAATATTGATCTTTAATGTTATAGTTACTTGTTTATACGTAGTGGTGCTGAATAATAACAATATGAAAAACTAATTCCTAAAAGAAACTAACTCCTGAAAAAAGCGTTTCCGCACTCATGTTCATATAACATTTTTTTGTCCGTTAGGAACATTTCTCTAAATTTTAGCCATATCTTTTCAGAATACCTTGTATATTTGAAATTGCAACACAAAAAAGTTTCCCAAATGTATTAAGTCTAGAGCATCTGTGACGCAATTTATGATGTCACAAGAATACTGAAATGAGCAATTATTTGGACATTAACAGACTCGAATCAAAATAGAGAATTAAGTACTGCGGAGTCGATACGCACGCACAAAAATAATAAAAGTATATAAACATTAAGGGTAATGACATCATTTAATTATAAAAGACTGTGCTTACATATACGGTCTGTTGCATAATGTAAATACTACATAAAGACAGATATGCGAAAAAATAAATACCCTTAAATATTGTACTATAAGTATTTTTTAATGGGTAAGTTTTTCGGTTAAGTAACAGAATGTAACTTTTATAGAGTATATATGTAACGTATAAAAACGATAATATGATATAGATTATATAAAAGAATATTATATAATATAAATGTATACGCCCACAGGAGAGTTCGCAAACTTATGTAAACGCTTTTTTTCTAAAAGATTCAATTTTTAAAAAATTTATTAAGAATAAAAAATTATTCTTATAGAATCGGTTTGTGAAACAGCTCATTTTTGAGGAAGAAATTAACGGAGCCTATAATGCAATCATCAAAGTGACTCAATACGAAAGTCGGTGACTCGGTAAGAAAGTACGGATAATTTTTTTACCCTTTGTTTTACACGCATCTTTGCAGACATTGCTCTTTCGCGGATATATACCAAACAAGTGTGTTTCGTGTTGCATGAGTGCACCTGAAAAATGATGCATTCGTATACGTACATACACACATCTCATTAATTAAACATGAGAATTAATGATGAATATGTCGCACCCGCGAGGCGAACGAAATGAAAAGTTAGCATCGTTAAAGAACACACTTATCGCTTGGTAATTAGTTTACTGAAATCTTCATAGAAAGTCACGAATACAACTTGAACGTGTGTTAAAAAAAAAATTTGACGCTAATTACTAGGAAACGTCAGTTATATAGCTGTATTCATATCTTAGAACGTCTAAATATTCTCGATGTAAGTTTATGAACAACGTAACATAAAGTAAGGCCAATTTATGATTTTATTGTTTTGTGATCTTGTTTGAAAGAATCACACACAATATAAATATTAACATAAAGTATTAATATTTATGTTCACATAGAATGTATAATCAATGTTAATACGTCGGATATTCCTGACACTAAATTATATATCATGGAATTACAATGGGCTTGTAATCTTTATTCTTTCGAAAGAAACTTGGCACAAAATCTTTGTAAAATAAAACTTGAAAGCTAGACATATGTCATAAAGAATATTATAGTATTATATGTATTATATGTAATCTCTTACTTATCTAAAATATATGATATAAATACATAAATATTATATATAAAAATGTATGTGTATGTATATAAAAAAAATATTATATGGTAAGATGATTTAGAATAATACAAACAATCTTTTAAAAATAAAAAGCTAATATTGTTAAAATTTCGTCTATTAGTAAGTGTTGGAAATCTCGAGGAAAATTTAAGCTCTTTGAACTTTTCAGCGCAGAACGTCTGAAAACATAAATATGGATGTATCTTGTGCTAATATCTGGACAAGTAACATCCACGTGTACGTCATTAAATTTACATGAGGATGCGACTTGAGTCTTGCGACCCGGTCAGAAAGACGAAGTGAAAAGTTAAGAGCGTTAAAACTGCTCCCATCAACGTGTCAATTAAGCCTCATAAATCCCAGACGCTCCGGTTGGACGACATTTTTCAGTCACTTTGAAACAATGTATAAACTTATTAAGCTCAACATATTCAGGGAACACTTTCCATAATCTGCACATACATTATCTTATCCTTACACCGTCTTTTTCATTAATTTTTCACAGTGAATTTTTCTCGCTTTTCTCTTTTCTTATAAAAAATATTAATATATTATTTACATTATTTTATTATTTATACATTCCCAAAATTGATATTTATAATTAAATGTTCTTCAGATAGCAACACACATAAAGTATCGATATTATAAAAATTAAGTATATTTAAAATTAAAATTAATTTGTCTCACAAAACATTTGATTTCTTATAAAATATATTGAAAGAAACCATACTGTGTATCTCATCGTTAAAACGGTAAATGATATTTCTCTGTTATGACAATTAAATAATCGGAGGCTGACAGATGTTACTTTCAAATGTACATAACATGAATAAATGTATTTATCATTAATCTTTAATTGATCGGTAACTCGAGCGCGCGCTCGTAAGTTTGCTTTGGATGATTTAGAGAGTCGCTAATTTAACGCGGCGGCAAAAACATCGATGCTCAGCTTACGTTACAATCCGCTTTCAAGCAGCTGTCGTTGGGAACGAGCGAGAGGCCCGAAGCGAAAACGATAAAAGTCCTGAAATTAACGATCCTTTAAAACGCTCGTAAAAAATTCACCCAGATAAGGATACCTTCTACTTTCTCGATATCCGTACGTCGTATCGCGTCCACCACTCACAAATTACTCCCACACGCATCCACGAAAGCTGCTCTCGTTCGTTAACCGTCACCGAACAGAGACATTATTTTCACGTACCCGAGTTGCATATTTTTATTCGGATAATATCAGTAATTATTGGTAAAAATAGAACGCGCGGGATTCCGATAGCTTTGGCGAGGCGATTTAACACTTATTCTTACGATTGGTTATTTGTTTAAAGCAAAATACAATGCAACAGGTCCTAGATC